CTGTCTTCCCCCACCCCCTCCCGTCTCCCAGCCCCCTGCTCTAACCACTAGTGTAGACCCCACTTTTCTCTCGAGCCAGGGAGAGAACACAGGCGTTCTGACTCCCAGCCTCCCGCCCTACTGTAACCCCCTAGACATCTTTATGCTTCAGTTTCCCTCTCTGTAACATGGGGCTAATGATCCTGGCCCATGCTCTGGGGTGGAGGAGGGGTGGTTGTGCTGGGCTCTGTCCCCCTGCCTGGACAGAGGGGTTGGAGCTGGGTGTGGGGTTCTGCTCTGGGCCGGCCGGGGGTGCAGCTCATCGGGTGTCTCTGCTCTGCAGACGCCTCCATGGACGAAGGGAAAGAGCCACAGACCCTGGTAAGTGTCCCCTGTTCCCCCATGGGCCCTGACCCCCAACCCTGACCCACATGGGCTCCAGCAGGCCTCTCACATCCCCCCCACCAGCCTATCCTGGCACACTCAATGGTTTGGGGTGAGGATTGGGCTATAAGGGGGGGAATTATGGGATCGCCAGCTGGGATTGCAGGGTGTGTGTGTGTGTGTTTTTCTGTCACCCCCTCTTTGAGGGGATGGACCCTGCTCTGTGTGTGTGGTTGGGGGTTGGTGCATGCGCGCGCACACACACGTGACTCTCTCCTCTCCCACCCCAAGGAGCCCGGCATCTACACCGAGCTGGACCGCCAGACGCTGCAGCCCAGTGTGTACGATGTGATCAACGTGAGCCGGGGAGCCCCGCAGTGAGAGCCCCCCGCAGCCATGGGGCGCCAGACCTCAGGGGGTAACAGCCTCATGCCCCAACAGCGACAGCCCCAGAGAACTCTGCATCTAGGGAAGATTTAGGGGGACGCTGCCCTCCCCCCGCTGCAGCCCCGTCCCATCAAGCTTCTGTCCCCCTGCCCCATGCAGATCCACATGTAGGGGGAAGGGGAGGGCTCAGCACTGAGATGGGTAGGAGATGCTTCAAGGCAGCTTTGATGTTATTAGCATCCTGTTAACCTTCAGATTTGTAATAAACACAGATCATTAAACCAGCCCCCCCGGGCAGCCCCCAACCCCTGT